CCATTATAGTGGTCCAGATTTTGTCTTTTCTCTTCCCATTTCCTTTCTGCTTTCTGAAGGAAAAGAGCAGGTGAAGAAACTTGTTAAAAACAGAGGGAAAAGCTCATTAATTGTTTAGAGAGTTCCTGTTGGGTGGGAGGAGGTGTAACAGCTAAAGTGCTGGCAAAATAACGCTCCGGGTTATGTGCTGAAAGACACCTGGCAAATAGGACACGCCTGCTCTCTGCTGCCTCTCCTATAGCGAAATGGGCTGCATTTACGCGCGTGACACTCATTCATATTGCAGCAAGCTCAGAAATCAAATTCATTCACTAAATGATGACTGAACACTTACCAAATACTTCCACCAACAGTAAATAAAATGGGACACAGACACGCTACCCTGGGTAAGTATCCATAACCAAGTTTTTGTTTTCTAAATTGAGCTTTCATTTAGAGAGGTTCAAACAAACAGAAATAAACACCAAAACACTCACTAGGAGCTAAGAATCCCATGTCTTGGTTCCACTTCTGTCAAAGACTTGCTATATGGCTACTGGACCACATTTTCTTACTTTGAAAAAGGGGGCAGGGGTGAGATTACTTAGATGACCTGTTTATGGTACAAAGTCAGCAACAGTTGATAACTTGAGGGCACACAAATACCACATGAAATGATTCTTGATGTTTGTAGTTCTATTGCTTTGTGTCATCAGCAGTGCTTGGGCAAGAATGATCATCAGATTGAAAACAGGCATTGACAAAAAATTACTCATTTCTGTAGATTCTTTTAAACATTGAAAATGAACTATATGTTAATAAACACTGACTTTATAATCATTCAAAATGTGCATACATTTCTTAGGACATCATATCCTATGTAATAAAGAGGTAATATGCAAATTGACCATCATGCCCTCACAACATGGCTGCCTACAACCAGGCTGGCAGGGAGGTTAGTGAAGGATGACCAAACGACTGAACACGCAGGCTGCATGGGGCGACCAGGCTGGCAGGGGGGTTAGTGGAGGACGACCAAATGACTTAACAGCAGGCTGTGTGGGGCAACCAGGCCGGTGGGGGAACTGTGAGGGGTGGCCAGGCCAGCGGGGGAGGAGGCAGTTGGGGGCAACCAGGATGGCAGGGGGGCAGTTAGGGGCGATCAGGTCAGCAGAGGGGGGCAGTTGGGGGCAACCAGGCAGGCAGGCAGGTGAGCAATTAGGAGCTAGCGGTCCAGGATTGTGAGAGGGATGTCCGAGTGACCCAGGATTGGGCTTAAAACGGCAGTTGGACATCCTCCGAGGGGTCCCAGATTGGAGAGGGTGCAGGCTGGGCTGAGGGCACCCCCCCTGCATGAATTTTGTGCACCAGGCCTCTAATATACATAAACACATTTTCATAAAAAAATATGACTCGGATACATATATGTACTATCTCTACAGCCAGGCTGTAAATTCTTCCAGGGAAAGAACCATGAGTTACACTCCTCTATGGGGCTACAAAAAATGGAAGTAGAACTCTACCTCAATAGACACCGCCCTGTTCCTGGCACTCACACTGTGGATTTCTTCAATGAACAAACTCTGCATGGAGGAGCCATTCATGGGTGCCTGTGGAGACTGAGTTGCCTGTGATGACTGGGGAGCTGAGGTCACTTCCTGTGTGACTGCCGGAGGGCTGGTTGGATGCTGGGCAGGGTTGGGTGGGGTGGAGGAGAGCTGGGAGGGCTGAGTGACCACAGGAGAGCTCTGTGCATGGTGAACCATCAAGGGCACCACTTCCGACTTCACGTCTCGAGGGACTGCTGCGCCGTGGAGGGGCTGGGACGCCAAGACTTCTGCGGCAGTGGCCTTCTCCATGGCCACATACTGCGCGGCCTCGGCTGCATCTGTCCCTTTTAAGAGCCCATCGGTGACATGTCTAGGAGGAAGCATGCACAGCAGCATTAGCTATGAAATAGGTGACTTTTATTTTAATATTATGGTGCATGTGAATACAGTGCCATCCGAAAGCCAAGCAAGCTTTTCTTGCAAAATTAAAACATTCTAAAACTCAGAGTAGCAGCTCAGGGTTGAGGGTTTCCATAGCTACTTCCCAGCAGTGAATTTCCTCCTACTTACCTCTGGCAGCTGCTTTCTCAGTCATGTCCTCAGGAGGTGGCCTGCTTTTCTCTGTCCACTAGCACTGTTGTGCCCTGACACACAATTCCATCACTGCTTTCGGGGGAGGTGGCAGCATGAAGTGGTCAAATGATTCTAACAAGGTCTCCTCCAGCTGATCCCAGCCTGGAGAGCCCTCACAGATGCAGTTCTAATCCCCAAACCTTCCTGACACCCCAGAATCTGCTCCTTGAACTTCAAATGGCTCAGGAGGGCAGTCTATGTTCTAATGCTCACTCCTCCTGGTGTGAGCTTGCTTCCCCACTGGGACTTGACCAAGCTTTCTGCAAGGTCACCATGACACCAAATTGAGCAGCTGGGTTAGTTCTCATCCTCTTCTGCTTTTGGGGCCATGTGATGCTCTTTGTCCACCGACTCCCATGGTGCAGCGAGAAAGACATGGCGTTGGGGTCAGACAGACTTGGGTCTGAACATCAGTTCTGCCACGTTCTACTGCTATAATGCCAGGGACGTCACCTTTTTGAGTCTCAGATACTTTTCCACAGAATGTGATCGTGACGATGATGCTGACAGCTGTTGTCTTCCCTAGGGTGGTTGTTCAGCTCAGTGTAAAATTATATATGTGAGACAATGTGAGACTTGTACCTGACCTGTAATTTTTAGTCTCTTTTTCTTCTTACTAAAATGCTCTTTTTGATTTAAAAAAAAAGACACTATATTCTATGAGTCTCTCCTGCTACTCACGTCTCTGTTCCTTTTGCTGCTTAGTTTCCTTACCCTGGCCCTGCAGCCCCGAGGATGCCCGAGGACCTCTTCCCTCCTTTCCCTTCTCTCACTCTACCATAGCCACCTCTTCTACTTCAAATCATCATCTTCACGAAGGCAACTTCTGATTCTAAATCTCTCTCCCCTCCCTCCTCCCACCTCCCCTCCCCATTAGGCAGGGACACCCCTCTGTCTCTCTCTCTTGAACCTCAGTCCACATTCCTAAGTGCCTAGTGGGCAGTTGTATTTGGTTTTCCTTCCAGCACTTCAAATTCAATACATATCAAAACATGTCAGCATCTTCCCAGCTGCTGAGTTGCTCTTGTCACCTGCGCTATCTCCCTGCCATGGCATCAGGACACAGGCACGTCCTGTCTTCCTCATTGTGTCTCCCCAGTACCGGATACAGCACTTTACATACATGAGCTACCAATACCAATTAATAGTGCAAAGGCTTGTGATGGGCAGCCGGATGGCAGCTAAGCTTTCTATTTTAAAAGTTAGTTACCTGGGCTTGTCATTCTGACCACTGAGCATTCATGGGACAAAAAGTCCTGTAACATTCAAAACACACATCACATCATTTTTAGAACTTGATTCCCTGGAGATGAGGCAAGCACTGAGCTCCGTCCCTCTGTGCTGGCTCTAATACTTTGTTTTAATTGTTTTTCAGGGGCGGGAAGGGAGAAGGGGCAGCACTGTCCGCCAGCCCGTTATCTGTTTCCACTTAACAAGGGTGGCTTGTTCTGGGCTTTGCGGATGGGTTACCACATTTAGGGAAGAGCTTACTGAAGAATTCTTTTACCAGATTTTTATCCTCCTGGAAGAAAAAGTTCACTCCAGGAACTTAAAATGAGTGGACCTATGAGAAGATGTGTCTCAGGTACAATTTGTTCCTGTACTCAGTCAGATGTGGTCTCTGCAGGGGGCCACTGCTGGATTTCAGAATTCCTTCGGGAACTTATGCAGGTGATGCTTATCATGTTGGCATCTCAAAGGAGGCCTTTTCTTGAGGTCATTGTTCCTATGGTTAATAATAATTCATCTGAAAGTCAACTGTACATTTATTTATCTTATAAATATGATCACGTTTACAGTTAATGGCTAAAATTCTCCCCAGAAGCTGTCTTATTTGTTCCTTCTGTCTGTGACCGGCTCTCAAATCTGGTCTAAGAGCTGAAGGGTACTGTCTCTGCAATTTCCTAGTTCTATTAAAAACAGAACACTCAGGGACAGCCACTGTTGGAAACTGGTTTAGTTTTGGTAGTTGTGTCTACTTCCCATGTGAGAGAGAAAGTTATATAAGGGCAGGGTTCCTGTTTGTCTTTATTCTTATACTACAGGCCTGGTGCACAAAATTCATGCACAGGGGGTGGGGAGGGGGGAGAGAGTCTCTCAGCCCAGCCTGCACCCTCTCACAGTCTGGGAGCCCTCAGGGGATATCTGACTGATGGCTTAGGCCTGTGATCCCAGCTTCTGGGCTTCTGGCTGAGCGGTGCTCCCACTGTGGGAGTGCACTGACCACCAAGGGGCAGCTCCTGCATTGAGCGTCTGCCCCCTGGTAGTCAGTGCGCATCATAGTGACCATTCATTCCGCCGTTTGGTTGATTTGCATATTAGCCTTTTATTATATAGGATTCTTGACACCCAGTACCAGGCTGGACAGGCAGACTGTCCAAACATTGCTGACTGCCTGGGTGTGAGATCAGAACCAACTCTGCTCACTGGAGTCAACCTATCAGTTCCTATCCTGGCCTCACCTCTCACTTCTAGTGAACTTCCTTGAAGCTCAGATTCTCTCTAGACAATGGGAACGAGAATGCCTGCCACATAGGGTTGCAAGTTAGGACAGAGTGAGCTAATATTTACAAAGGCTTAGTTCAGTGCCTGGAACATAGGAAGTGCTCACTGACATGAGCTATTGTTATGAGTGTGCTGAGAAGAAAGAGATCTAATTGCCACCCAAGACAGAGTACATGAGACGGCATTTATAGAGGTGCTTCTGGCAACACAATCCTGCATATATGTCAGCACTTTCTATGTGAGTACAGAGTTCAGGAATTTTCTTCTCAATGAAAGTCCTGGGTGATTCAGTGATTTAGTTTAGTTTTTCTTCTTCTGTGACCCTCTTTCACGGGCAGGCAAGGGTGACTGGCTGTGCCACGAAAGGGGGTTTGTTTCTCTTTTCCAGATGGGATCAATACCTCTCAGATACCCTTTCAGTAGGAAACTCAAAAAAGGCTTTATTTCTACTCATTTTCTTTTAACTGAAGTCATCTATGCCCCTGAAGTGAAGGAGGCTAATATCACATTTTGATCCATTCTTCGACTTCAAAATGTTATTGGAAGGAACCACCTTCAAATGATTTTCTTAAACTGTTGACTAGTGAATTGCAAGCCCGAGCTCGCGCCGGATGCAGCAGGAACCTGCTGAAGGATCAGGACCTCAAGCCGTGCGCACAATGGAAGTTCCAGGTGGGAAGGGACCGCGGCTTCTCCTCAGGGCACAGGAAGTAAGATGGGCTACATCCCAGGTCCCAGGAGCACAGAGGAAGCCTGGGAGTCCAAACCATAGACCCCCAACCCTCCCAGCACCCCCACCCCGCCCCGCCCTCTGCACGCCCAGTGCGGTCACCTCCGCAGCAGGGTCAGGGTGTCGGTCATGCTCCGCACTCTCTGCAGGAGACTGTCCAGCCGGTGCGGCTCCTCCTTCAGGAACCGCACGGCCTCCACCTCTATGCGCAGGATGGCTCGCATCTTGTTTTGTAAGGTCGGGAATTCTCCTGTGGCCAAGAGCAGCGCGTGAGTTGTGGGAGAAAAAGTCAGAACAGCAACCCCCCACCCTGTACCCGACCCTGGATAGGGTGCAGCATGTGGGGTTCACCAGCCACAGCGCCGCTCACACATCTTCAGGGAGAAGAAGTGGCTGACAGATGGCCATGGCCAGGGGCAGAGCTCCCCTGGGCCTCCTTTCCTGGCTGCGAACTTGGGATGAGGCCAGCTGTCCCTTGGGGTTGTTTACTGAATTTGGCACAGGTGCTGGTGTGTTGTAAGAGTCCAGTGAGGAACTGTATTATCATTTAGTCCTAAATCTGTCAGCACCCATTACTGTATAAGCTTCAAGAAGACAGGAAGGCCTGGCTCTTGTTCAGGGCGGGGTCCCACGTGCCTGACACCTGGAGGTGTCTGGCGGACCCTGCCATGCGTGAGTGAGTGAGTGAGTGAACGGAGCCCTCCCTGTGGGACATAACCCCGAGTAAGCTCACCTTTCAGGGAAGCTACCGCTTCTCCCACTTGTCGCAGGAGGAACGCCCCATCTTCCACGTCTTTTAAGGTGACCACTCGGCTGGCCGATGCAGAGTCCTTCTTCAGGTCTTCAACCAGGTCCTCCAGCTCACTGGGGGGCGAGCAGACCACAGAGCGTGAACACCGAGGGTCGACAAGCACCGGCGCAGGGGCACGGGGCTCACCTGGGCTCCCACTGTGCAGTGTCCCCGCCCACCTCGCCTTCCACCCGGATGGTGGGGCACATGTTAGCGCAGGTGCAGGCAAGTTTACCCAAGGCCTGTTTGTGGAGTGGCCCAGGCGGCCGCAGGGAAGATGGCAGCTGGCTCTTCATCTTCAGTGGTGCTGATGCCAATTAAGGGGGGTTGTGTGCACTTTGTGACAATAGAGAGAGAAAGAGAGAGAGGGAGAGAGAGAGAGAGAGAGAGAGAGAGAGAGAGAGAGAGAGAGGAGGGGGGAGAGCAGGAGAGATATCCATGAGCTTGAAAAAAACTTGGAATTCAATAACAGAAAAACCAGATATAGAGAGAGAGAGAGAGAGAGAGGGAGAGAGAGAGAGAGAGAGAGAGAGAGAGAGAGAGAGAGAGAGAGAGAGAGAGAATGCTGTAGTGGAGTAAAATGAGGAGCCCAGATCAGGCTTTTCAACCTTGGGACTTGACCTTTTGGACCAGATAATGCTCTGTAGTGGGGCCTGTCCTGGGAATTTGAGGGTGTTTGGCAGCCCTCCTGTCTCTGTGCACTCGGTGCCAGTAGCATTTCCCCCACTTTGTGACAAACAAGAATGTCTCCAGGCATTAAATGTCCTTGGGGGAGGGGAGCAAACTTGCCCTGATCCAACCTCTGGTTTATACTGATTGTCCCATCAATAAGGACTGACTTTCCTTTCAAGGCTACAAAGAGAAGAAATGATCCAGACCTGTCATCAATAAGGACTGACTTTCCTTTCAAGGCTAAATGATCCAGACCTGATTCACACACACACACACACACACACACACACACACTCACACACACACTCACGCACCCTCATATGCGCACACACACCTTAGGATACTGCCTGCTCCAAAAGAATTAAGTTATGGCCTTTCACTTCCAAAACAAACAAACAAAAACAAACATCCTGTCACCTGGGAACATTAATAACCCCCTCCTAAGCCACGTTTGTATCATTTCAGTTTGCCTGTAAATCTAACCACCACCCCTCGTAAAGAAAAGGGGAAAGAACTTTGAGATGAAGAGCCACTGGGTGGCAGTAAGTGAACAGCTGTTACTTGGTGGAGTCCTGAGCCTGTGGAGCAGGCAGCAGCAGGAGGGGAAAAGGCAGTATTTGCAGAAAGATGGCCCGCTAAGACCCTCGCACCAGGTGGACAAGAGGATGAAGTTATGGATGGCATGACAGTTGTGAGAGCGATTCAGGCAGGATGGCACATATGTTCAATAAGGACCATGGGGCAAGCAGCAAATTCATCCACTTCCGAGAAGTGGGGGGAAGATTTTGCTGATGTCTTTCATTCTGTTATGGAAAATGGACCAAAAGTGCCTATGATCCCTTCAGGTAAGATGATGCAACTTCAGGACCAAAATGCAAAGCCATCTTCTCACTGTCCACATTCACAAACGATGGACAGATACCCATTCATGTGAATCCACTGGGATGTTCCCACATCTCCTGCACCCTGACGTGGAGAGAATGTGTGCCATCTCTCATAGGAGTCCTAGCCCTAACCGGTTTGGCTCAGTGGCTAGAGCGTTGGCCTGGGGACTAAAGGGTCCCAGGTTCAATTCCAGTCAAGGGCATGTACCTTGGTTGCGGGCACATTCCCAGTGGGGATTGTGCAGGAGGCAGCTGATCGATGTTTTTCTCTCATCTGATGTTTCCAACTCTCTATCCCTCTACCTTCCTCTCTGTAAAAAAATCAATAAAATATATTTTTTAAAAAAGAGTTATAATATGTGAGGAAAAGTCCTTTTTCACTTCATAACCAAACAGAATTATTTGAATGTGTAGATTGGACACACTGTCAGTCCTCCTAAGCTTTGATGGAAGAGCTAAGACCCAAATGTTGTCATGGTTCCATTAACAATCCTGCAGCTGGCCAGGTTGCAATTAATACTCTAAAGAGCTGTCATCTGAGCAGTCAGCCTAAAATTCTATTTGAATCTCTTCCATACAATGTGACTCTTGGATTTTATAACCTTGTATCAGCTGCTTATAAACACTTGTAAGGGTCCAACACAGTGGAGCCTTACATGCCAGTTTTTCCTGTGTTGATCATGGAACATAGAGAAATGTGTACTGAAATTGTTGTACACAACAATATCACTTCTCTTCATATACTTCTATCATAGATAAAGCATGCAGATAAAACTGGTTCACCCAAAATGTAAAAGGAGACCATGGAGCTAAAATGAATGCTGAAAATAATTTTTTAATATTATAGTAATTAATATGACTTTTGGGATGGAAACTCTGCTCAAAAGAATGCCAGGTGTTGACAGATGCTGTGGTTTATAGGTAAATCCATTCTATTTGTTGGTGGTGCTTTTCATTCTGCCTTGGTTAAAAGGAAGTATTAATTTGTTGAAATATATTTCATTTGACTGTTATCAGAAGCCCAATTATTATTTCCACATAGAAACCCACCAAAGAGAAATTCTCTTGATCCAATTTCTCTCCATAGTTGCCAGGCCCAAATTTTATTTTTCTGCCATTTGAATGGCTCACCAACAACTTGCCTTAACATGATCCCCCAGGGAACTTATTTTCGTGTGTGTGTGTGTGTGTGTGTGTGTGTGTGTGTGTGTGTGTATTGATGTGTGCGGGTATGTGTGTGTGAGTGTGTGTGTGTGTGTGCACATGCACACATGTAAGGAGAAAAGTTGGGAGGAGGAGGGTCAGGGAAAGGAGGAGAGTTGGGGAGGGCAGGAAAGGGGGAGAGGCAGGTATAACTGTTTTCCTTAGGTTCCAGAGTTGAAATTTCCAGCTGTCTATTGTAACCACTCTGATTCATCCAATCAGTCCCTTTTGCATTTGATTTATTTTCTCATTCCTATTTCTACTGCTTAATTCAGCTCTTACTGACTTTTGTCTAGACTGTTAAAGTCAGTTCCAATATGATTTCTTAGACCAGTGGTCACCAACCTTTTGGAACTCATGGACCACCAGGGGTCCTCAGACCACCAGTTTGTGACTGCTGTCTTAGACAATTTCTCTCTCCCTCAATCAGCCCTGCATGCGATGGCCAGAGGGATCCACCTGAAATACAGCGTGGAATCTGTTACTTTCTTTATCAAAAAATCTTCGGTGACCTCATCAGGCCAGGCAGAAACTCCCAAATGGGAAGATGATTCAAAATCTCCCCCGTATCTTTGTAAAATGCAGTGTCCTAAGCTCCATCCCGAGAAATCCTGAACCAGGAGCTGGACCCAGGAACTTTCATGAAAAGCTAGAAATCCAGTTACGTGATCTTCCAATCTCGGTAAACACAGAACAAACAGACGTCCAGCAGGCATGCTGGGCGTGAGCATGGTCTAGATATGGGGAGGTACCACGCAAACAGAAATAGCACGACCCAAACACGAGACATGATTAGTATCTTGTATCCATTCTCCACCCAACTGGGCTACTCTCGTTTTCCAAGGATGTCTTGTGCCTTCCTGGTCCTAAGAATTACTGGTTTGTAGGGTTCCTCTACTTGGCGGGGGGGGGTCCCCTCTCCACTGATGAAATCTCACCAGTCCTCAAGACCATTTCAGTTCAGTTTAACACACCTTTGTGAAGCCCTACTATGCACATGGTACTGTGCTTGGCCTGGAGGCACATGAAGAATAATTTCAGGTTAAGTGTCCCTGGTTCCTGGGGTTCGAAGCCTTTGTATAGGTTAACCTGGCACTGGTAAACCACCTGTTTTGTGCTATACACATACTGCTATGTCCTGTTTTGGCAGACTGAATTTCCTCTAGTGGCTGTGCACAACCTATTCAGGTATGGCCGTCCCACAAAGCCACAGGTGAAGTTCTCTCATGATATGTTGGTTCCACTCCCCTGCATATCATTCCTATGCTGGCCTACTAGTCTCAGGGTAATATTGAGATTAAAGATGCCTTATTTTAGTCAAGAAGCAAGAATTATCTCAGCTAACCAATAAATACAAAATTTGAAAGGAGGAAATTTACTTTTCATAATTTATTTGGAAAATGTATAAAATACTAAAAGGCTATATATATCTTAAAAGAAGTTTTCAAGAAAAATCCTGAGACCTAGTTTTAAGCAGTTGGGCTGTCACAAAATCATTTTAAACGAATAACAGCCTCACTGCTTCACGGTGAGAGATTAACTAGTTATAAATGTTTGAACTAAATAAAACATTTTGAGATGGCGATGAACAGTGGTCAAATTTGATTTCTTTGAAAAATAATAACAGAAACAGTTTTTTTTCTCAGACTGCGACTGAGAGTGACATTCTAATTTCAATCAGACCCATTGGGTTGGCATCTGAGGTGAGGTAAGCTGCAGCCCAAATATCCAATAGGAGACCAAGCACAGTGCTTTCCATCACGGAGACTTCTGGGGGTTCTGGTCATACAAAGAATCTGGAAGTTGCTCCCTTACAATTCCAATTTGGAAGGTTTAAGCTTTCCAAGAAGCAAGAGAATTGCCAACTCTAGAAGAACCGCAGAAATTACTATGCATTATATTAAAAGGTGAAATATTTCTGTGATAAATCTCCATTGCATAACAAGACATGCATTAATATAAAAGATGTGCCTGCTCTAGTGACCGGGGAGTAATAAAACTGCTCACTTCAATGGGGGGACTTGATAGATGCTTTCAATCAGAACCTCACAGAAGACTGGGAGCTTTCAAGGAAGCATCCCTCCTCTGCATCAGACATACTTTACATTTAAATTCTTCCTTTGTGACTTTAACTACAGTTGGATAATAGGAAGACAATTTCAGTGCGCTGTTATTTTGACAATTAGTTTTGATTTATTGAGATTAAATGCAGACTTCCCATTCATCATTGGGTTTTGCCATTTGCTCCTTTTAATTCTGTGTGGCTGAGCCCTACAGAAGAGAGTGATGTTCCCACCCTTAGAAAGACCAGCTCAGGTACCTGAGGATTGCTGAATTCCTTGGGCCTGGATGGGTGGTGGTGGTGGGGGTGGGGTGGGGCACCAAGAGTCCATGGACAGCCCAGAACCACAGAGCTCTAGCTTGTACATAGTAGGTGCTCAATAAAGGGAGAGGGGGAGAACGCCATCTAGGAAGGGCAAAGTCAGGTTTCCTTCTCCGGTTAAACAGCTAAACACGCAGCAAGCGACGGGCACTCACCATAACTTCTTGACGATCTTCTCCTCTTCCTGCAGGTACCTCTGTCTCTCTTGCTCCACCAGGACGCGCTGGCGCTGCACAGGGTCCTCCAGCCTCTTCATCATTTCAATCACTCGGCCGCTGATTTCCAGCTCAGCCTTCTTCATCATCGCCCTCAGCAGCTCCTGGTTCTGCAGCTGGGAACAAAAAGAAATCAGCCTCAGTCGGCGCTGCCGGCCTGGCGCGCGGTGAGTGCCTGGCAGGCTTCAGAGGCGGGTCAGGAGAAACAGCCGCAGCTGAATCCTTATTTCAATGAAAAGGGAAGGACCGAAGACTGTACATAATGTTGCTTCTTCAGCCAACATCTAAATTTTAGCCGCCAACTGAGAATCAGACTTCCATGCCGGAGTCTGCAGAAAACAGGATCCTCTCTTTACTCTTGTCAATGCATCACGGACAATGGACATGAACTCTCATTGACACGTTTTTATAGGGAGCAGCCAAGAACACTAGGTTTGAAGCCAAGCAGATTTTGGATCAAACCCCTAAGCCTTTCTCCCAGGCTACTGTGAGATTCTGGGCATGTTACTTGGCCTGTCTTGGTCTCCGTTTCCTTATCTCTAAGAATGGGTTTTCACTTCCCGTGGCAGGGCTATTCCGAGGATTAAATGAGATACTGCTTAGTATTAGAACAGGTACTCAACGAATGTTGAGGTGGCTATGGACTCTTTCAGGATATCTATTAAAAGAGGATCATGTGCCTCTTTTTTATATGGGTTCACGTACCAAATACCAGGTAATCACAGACCATTACAACATGGCGTTGATAGTGATGGTGGCAACGACAACGATTCCAGATCAACCCAAGGCTCTTGGCAATTGAGTTGCTTCCCTGGGTTATACACAGGCTGCTGTGTGCATCAGACCACAATTTCCATGTAATTTTCCGCGTACTTTCTAGGGCACTCGTTTCTCACCACAGAGTATAGGACATGTGAGTTTGCACCCAGGCTTCACAAGAATCTAGTTAAACACTTGAGTCCTATTTCCAAGAAGGTTCTAAGTGCTCCCCCAGGCAGGACAATTTTCTGACAGCTCATAGGCAAGTGAATTCATTCAACCAGCCTCAAAAGCAGTAATTATATTATACCTGAAGTTCCCCTGAAATGTCAATGTCGTTTCCTCTGTTTTCCGCTCGTGTGGACTGTCCTATGACTGCTGTATAGGAGCGAAGGTGTCTTTGTCAACTGTCCATTATCTGCAAATTGAGGGAAATGCCATCTGGCCATGTTACACCTGCTTGAACCCGCATCCTGGCTTCCATTTTCTCTGAATAAAGAGAAAACATCTCAACACGAGCCATAAGCAGAGCCACCACCACGTTCCAGCATCAGTACAGCACCGTGACCGACTGGCCATCCAGAGAGAGAGAGAGACTGCTAGGGTTCAATGTCTAGTTTTATCACTTAGTAGCCATGGAACTGAGGGCAAGTTATTCAATTCTGTGTCTCTCCATAAAAAGGAGTAGTGATAGTTTATATCTCATAGGCTGGTAATGTAGACTCAAAGAGGCAATCTAGTGCAGACAGCAGTGCCTGGCACAACCCTGGCTCTCAGTACATACAAGCTCCGGCTATCAGGAGCATAACCCTGGGCAGGGCCTGCGGTTTTGTCTGGGAGGGAACCAGATACAACTGTGCCATTCTTGGGTCACCTCCTCCATATGACTCACGGCCACGCTCTCAGACTGCTTTGGCTAGGAATGTCATCTTAAAAACAGTCAGTCAGTATATTGCTGAAAGTCACCACGTTTGGAGACAATGTACAGAGGGTGACTTCCTCCCATGCTCTCTGCAGCCACAGCTCCTCCTCCTCACACTGCATGCAGCTGGCACGCTCTCTGCTGCAGCCACATAAACATCCTCTCACCTCTTCTGATTGGCCAAGATCCTTTCTGCCACAGGGACTTTGCACATGCTAGTGCCATCACCTGGTTAATTTCTGTTCTCCACAGAGTCTCCAGGACACAGTGCATGGCACATAGCAGGCATTTAATAAATAGTGGTTGAGTGCATGAATTGAATTAAGCAGCAATCCTATCTAATAAAGACAGACTATGCAAATTGACCATCACTTCATGACAAACATGGTGGCGCCCACAGCCAATAAGGAGGGAATATGCAAATTGACGTGACAAAGATGGAGGCGGCTGGGCGGGGACGCTTGCATTGTTGCCATGGCGACAACGCAGGCGTTCAGCCCCGCCCGGGTTGCTCCAGGCCTCCACAGTGCGTGGAGGTGGAAGGCAGCTCTGGGCCGGAGTGAAGGTGGAAAGGTGGCTCCGGCCAGAGTGAAGAATCACTTCATGACAAACATGGTGGCGCCCACAGCCAATAAGGAGGGAATATGCAAATTGATGTGACAAAGATTGCATTGTTGCCATGGCAACAACGCAGGTGTTCAGCGCCGCCCCGGCTGCTCCAGGCCTCCACAGTGCGTGAAGGTGGAAGGCAGCTCTGGGCCGGAGCGAAGGTGGAAAGGTGGCTCTGGCCAGAGTGAAGGCTGTACCGGCAGCCAGGGGAAGGAAGGCCTATTCTTGCACGAATCTTTGTGCATTGGGCCTCTAGTGTTGGTAATAACAGACAATGGAGATCTAAAATCTCTTTCCTGGATGAAAGAAATATAGGATGGCCAATGGGCTCAGAGATGGTTTGCGTTCAGCTCTAATGCCTGGCCTTGCTCTGTCTGCAGTGGTTAAACATACACAGCAACACTACCTACTATCAAAATGGTATACTCACATTCAGTGCCATGTGTCAAATGGCAATAGTATGCGAAGGGCCAATAAGTAGATGATTGTGTCTAAAAGTGCCTGATGCCTGGGTCCACCCTCCAAGAGAGGTGGAGCCTCAGCAACAAGAATTTTTAAAGCTCCTCAGGTGATTGTGGTGTGCCACCAAGGCTGCGCATCGTGGTCTAAGAGGACCCCTGAATGGATAGAGGATGCCACTGAGCCATGAGCTGTGTGGCGCAGTCCTTTGCACCTCTTGCATAAACCTCACAGACAAGCTCCAATGAAGTTACGGTCAAGTTAGCAGTGGATAGTAACAGTGGCTATCCAGCTGGAAATTATTGAAAGACTATTTCAAATTCTTAAAGCTAAAATCAGAAAGATGGCAAAGTGAAGCCCTAAGAGGTAAAACTACTGGTTCAGAGTCACTTGGGCGACTGCAGGGCGGAAGCAGGATGAGAACTAGGATTTCTGAATTCAACCTAGT